CCAAATTAGAAATTGCAGTTTGAGAAGTCCGAAATAGGAATTTCGATTTGGGATATCCCAAGTTTAACTTGGGACATAGTGACGTTTGGGCTACAACAGTCATTAATATTTTTTAATAACAAATCATACTTTCCATAAATCAAAATCAATAAACATTTCTGTACGATAATGGTGGAACAGAATATATTTGCAGTCTGTATAGATTAAAAAAAAAGGATCTTTAACGTAATCATAAAACATATTCCTTTTTTTAAAAGAAAAAAATCAAATCAAAAAAACTTACATTGACAATTCCTCCACTTGCGGATTCAAGCAACAAATCCTTAACTTCTTCTTTTGTTAAAGAATTTGAATTACCTTGACCTTTCTCATCAACAATTTGATAGTCATTGACAAGGATTGATGGTCTGCATTCTGCATTACAAATTTGATAATTTGAATAACAAAATTATAAATGGGGTTAGTTTCATTTATTTATGTATGGTTTAAATATAATTGCACTATACGTAATTTACGTAATTATTATCTGTTTGTTAATCAAAGATGATAAATATTTACGAACTTTAAATTAAAATGGATTATCATTATTCTCTCTTAGAAATTGAGAGCTTCAAAAAAAAAAAAAAATTGTTCAGCATTAATAATTTAGTTGTTATTCTTATCAAAACGCCTCCGAATTTGATTGTGGATAAGGAATAAGTAAGTTGATGGTGGTGTAATTTCAAGAAAAATATTTTTTTTTATTTGTTAAATTAATTTCTGTTTGATTCGAATATCGTGCATTTATTATTTTATTTTATTTATTATTTGTTTCCAAAGAACCCTCACATTAAATATATAATGATTCATTCTAAAAAAAAATTGAAAATAATAATAAAAAAATATTCCTATAGACAACCAGCCCCCCGACTTCAGAAAACGACAATTGTTTAAATCATTTTTTCCTTGACAAACTTACTGATATAAAAAGAAACCAATTGGAATATTAGGATGTAGAAAAAAATATAAAAAAAGTTCGGAAAAATTAGTAGACTTTTCGGTGATACTCTTCGATTCGATGATATTAATCATAGTGAATTATCTTTTTTTAATTTATTGATTCTTAAACTTTAAAATTTGATTTTTTTTTTCAAATCGAATTCTTATTTCGTTTTTTAGTATGTGGAGACTTAATATTATCATTTTTTTATCTGTTAAACAACGACATTACTTTCTTAACTTATAATAAGATTCAATTTATAACGTATAAAATGATTCTAAAAAATATCGAGTAATTTCGAAAAAAATAAGAATTCCTTCAATTACACTAAAGATGTCTTATGTTAAAATTAAATATAAGCGACTTTTACTCATCATAGTTCTTATTACGGTTTTCATTGCCATTAATTATGCCTATCCAATTCATGATTTGAAGAATTCAATCATTCTTCGAAAACGACTCGAATGTGTTGATAATTTAACAAAATGTCTACCCGAACAACCTAAAGAACCCGAACAACCAAACGAGCATAAAGAACCCGAAAATCCAAACGAGCCTAAAGAACTCGAACAACCAAACGAGAATAAAGAACCCGAAAATCCAAACGAGCCTAAAGAATTCGAACAACCAAACGACCATAAAGAACCCGAAAATCCAAACGAACCTAAAGACCCGAACAACCAAACGAGCATAAAGAACCCGAAAATCCAAACGAGCCTAAAGAACTCGAACAACCAAACGAGAATAAAGAACCCGAAAATCCAAACGAGCCTAAAGAACTCGAACTACCAAACGAGCATAAAGAACCCGAAAATCCAAACGATCCTAAAGAACTCGAACAACCAAATGACTCTAAAGAACTCGAACAACCAAATGACTCTAAAGAACCCGAACAACCAAACGAGTCTAAAGAACCCGAACAACCAAACGAGCCTAAAGAACTCGTACCACCAAAAGAGCCTAAAGAACCCGAACAACCAAACGAGTCTAAAGAACCCGAACAACCAAACGAGCCTAAAGAACTCGTACAACCAAAAGAGCCTAAAGAACCCGAAAATCCAAACGAACCTAAAGAACTCGTACCACCAAAAGAGCCTGAACAACCAAAAAAGACTGAACCCGAGCCGCCAAATGAGCCCGAACCCGAGCAAGCAAAAGAACCCGATTGTGTTGAAGATGAAGTAACTACATGTCCAAATACTTGGGGTAATTAACTGACATGTCGAGAACGAAGATAAAATTGTCGCAGCATGTGGGGTATTCCGCAATTTTAGTTATTAATTAATGGTTTTCGTGTAATTAGTAAAATGAATAGTGTAATAAATTAATAAAAATTTAAGAACTTGTACAAAAGTATCACAGAAATCAACATATTTCAACGATTGATTAAAATCCAGTAACTTATTTTATCATATAAATTTTGAGAAAATTTTGTCATAATAAATGTGTTTTATTTTTGTAGCAAATTTGCTAAAGTTAAAGTTTAAAATTCTTAAAATTTTCTCAAATGATGTCATTATTAGAGTTGGAAAAGGTTCAAATATCAAAGAATTTCAGTTATCTTAATCGCCTTATTTTAAAAAGAACTTTCGCAAAATTGGATTACAAAGATAATTTAATTAAATTATTAAACCAAATATTTCTCGAATAATTTTTGGCATGATTAACAACCGTTCCTGAATTTTTATCTAATTAAAAGTTCATATGAACTAAAAAGATTATATTTAAATCGTTATGGCAGGAATTAGTTTCTTGCCAACATTTCACGTAAATAAGAGTTTTTGTTCAGCATGTGAAATTTACAATTGCGAAATTACAAACCATGGATTACTAAATTTCTCAAGATACTTGTATGCTGGTAAACTTGGTTGAATGAAAATGGTTGCTCATCTTATGAATTACTTCTTGATAAATTGGTTTACACTTTACAAGATTATTTAATTCAAAATCAAATCGAATGGTTTGCATAAATTTTGTTAAGGACAGGATTTTCCAACTTGAAAGCTGAAACCAATCCAAAATTATTGTTTAGAAATTATTTGTGATCTTAAGCCTTTTTTGAATTTAGGATTTTCATGACATATCATATTTTAAATTTTTTCGGATTTTCAAAGTTTGTACCGAAATGAATTCTATTTGAGGATAATTGAGAATTACTATTAAAGGGGGGTTACGACCCGTCGAAACATTTGTCACCGTCGAAACTTTTCAAACCATCGAAATTTCCAACGTGAAACTTTCACGATTATGCCTTGCTATTTGGCCATCAGTCGAAACCTCAGGATTTTACGTCATTTTCACTTTTTTTAGTATAGGTTATTATTCTTCGAACATGCTACTTAGAATACACAATAAAGGACACGCTTGTATATTTTTTATCCTTTTTTATGTTATAGGAATTAACCGTATGAGAGACCATTTTAATATCGTATCGAAATAAAATTTAATACAGCTTGTAATTTTTTTTACTAGATCATCACGATAAGCATTTTTTATATAAATTCTTGGAATAAAAATTTTTTTTTAAAAATAATTGATTGTTTCGCTTTCAAATTTCAAAAGAAATCGAACGATACTATTTACTGTCATAGTAACAATATTTATGAAGTAACAGATCGATCCTACGAAGTTATAAATATTACTTTTTGAGTAATTAACTTGAACTCATTTAATTAGTCATTTGGTTAATTTAGTTTTTGATCAATTAAGACTCCACATTTCACTTCGTCATAAAAGGGATATTAGCGAAAATAACTATCTTTGGAAGGACATAATCGAAATTTCATATGAATAAATATGACTATATTTGCAAGCGAAAGATAATATCACAAGAAATTTTGGATCCTTTCGAAAATTATAAAGACAAGATTTTCAGAGGCGTCTTCTTATACTAGTAATTTTTTTATAGTTTATCGTGTTTAATCCAAACAACACCGCAAATCACCCCACCCGCTATAATTTATAATTGTTTACCACTCATAAAGGAAGACTAGACTACATGGTGAATCCGTCTACCTATCCGAAGACATGGTGAAAGAGTCTACCTATAACCATCGCCTCCCTCCACAAGAGGGAGTATAAACACTCACAAAAGTGAATGCAAACTGAGGAATAGACAAATAAATTCTATCCTTATTTATATTAAAAAGTGAAAAATTGGAAATTGTGGGATTCAAAGATCTTCATAATATACACTAATTATGGAAAATTATGGATGATCTATTATATTATCACATTACAGAACAAACGTAACGTGATTTAATAATTTTAATAGCATAAATCTTTCATCACAACTTAATTTTGTCATCTTTTCATTTATTTTTTCCAAAATGTGTAAAATTCCAAAATCTTCGCGTAGTAACGATAACACTCGTATATGGCAACGAAAAACTAGAATTTTCTTATTATACCAAAGAAATAAAAAAAAAAAGAAGAAGAAATTGGTGACTTGCACAAAATTTTAAAAATTTATTAAAGGAGCTGGAGAAAATGTTTATGATGAATTAAATAATCTTATTAAGTTTATTAAAAGGATTAATATCTATATATCAAATAAAAACCTCGAAAAGAATTACATTTATTACATTTACTTCATTTGAATTCCATACATCTACTTAAAATATACAACCATCGCAACTACAACAAATATATTTACTTTCACAACCTGTATCAAAAGTATGGATGAATATTTTAAATACGAACAAGTATATATTATATTATTATTATTAATTTTTTGATAGAACTTTTATTCATTATTTAAAGCTCATATTTAGAAACCAATCAAAAAAATGATTGAATCGATTGAATCGAAAAATCAATTGCAAAACCTTTATCAAAATTTCTTTTTTGCTTTATTTTAAAAAAAATTTTTTTGTATTTGCTCGTTTGATTTATAGTAAATAAATTTATCTGCACTATAAAAATACAAATTAAATTTAAAAATTAAATTAAAGATCAAATCGAAATGGAATCAAATAAATCAAAAATGAAAATGAAATGAAAAATTCAGATAATCTAGTCCGATAGTTTATTCTCAAATAAAGTAATCATAAAATTTTAACGTAACGGTAAGTTTGCAGGGAAACACTTTTGTCAAAAGCTACAGTTATCATAATTCAGCGTTTCAAAGATATTAAAAATAACTATTATAATTAAATTTTCAATCCACCCATTTTACTTAGAGAATGTTTGGACCTAAGCGTAGACCCGAACCTGCCCAAATTACGGATATTCTATTTTTTGTGGATGATTTTCCCATTTCTGGATAGGACCGGGAATATTTGTCGTTGAGTATGTTTAATTTATGCATAAAATTGATTGTGAATGATATAAAAGACCGGGAATTACATCATATTATTAAATGAACTGTAAACGGAATAGATGGATTTTATAATAATTTAAAAAAGGTGGCTTCGATTAATGATGGCTGACTATGATTTGGAAGATCACGCAATCCGAAAGAAATAATTTTACCACTTTCGTTGTAGTTTGTGTTTGATTTTTTTTTTAATAATCCGAATTATTCCGAATTATTCGGAAATTCTTACCAAATGCATTGATTATATGAACAATCATTATACTAGAAACGTGTTTATTGGTAAAGTTTTGTCCCAGTCGAGTTATTAAAAAATAGTATTCAACTCAAATAAAGAAATCACTTTTGAAATTTATAGAAATTGCGCTATTCTGGATCAGTTGACCACAATTTTGGTGTTCACAATAAGATCATAGAACCCTTGCGTATTTTCTAATCTAATGTAAGATATAATCAAATTATTTTATTTAGAGATTCTATTCCTCAAGTTTTAAAATTTTTAAACATCACATAATCAGAATAATTTTCATAATAAACATAATAAATAATTAGTGAAATTTACAAAAGTAGGTATTCAAATCATTTAAGTTAAATAATAACGTAAATATATTATTATTTGACTTTTTTTTTTCCGATAATTAATAATTGATATTTATTTTGATTCGAAGGATAAGCCAGAACTGAATCCAGTTACATTTTATGGAATGAACAACAATCCGATTCTCTTGAATCAAGCATTTAATCAATTTAAAAAAAAAAAATTTAAAATTTTCTTTCACTCCCAATCAATCACATTGATTGATGATGTGTAATCATTTTTGTATTTTAAAGTTTAATTGAATATAAAAGTTTCGATCTAATGTTATTACATTATTTGTTTTATTTCTGATGATATTTTGCATGAAAATTTATATATTTTATGTACTGTTAAAATGTGTATATAAATTTACTCTTCACTGATGTATTAAGGTTAACTATTTACACATACCATATACAAAAATATTGTATCTTCACCAATTAGGATTATTTTTTTGCTTGAATACAAATGTTTAACAAATTCCTGTAGTAATTTAGTAATTTCTTAATAAATCAGTGGTGATTCAATAGATTTCTTACAGCCACGATAGACTAATTGACTACATTAAATAATAATATGTAAAATTCTTAAGAATTTTCACCCTATACTTATGAAATGAAATTTTCAATATCAAATTCTGATTCAACTTGAAAGATTGATTCTCCATTGATATAATATTCAATGGTAATATAAATAATAAATAATACAAACCATAAATCTGACCAGAAAAGTAAAAGTGATACTTTGTTAACTTCTGTTAAGAGCGCATAAAATCCAACATAATAATCAGTTCCACATAAAATACATCCTATAATCACTCCGACTATTGTATTGTTAAAACGGCTAATAAACCATCCTACTACTAAATTAACAACATAAATTAAAATCAATAATTTATTGGCAGACTTGATAAGAAGTACTAAACTATAAATAAATGTTCCAACAATTGATATTATAATACAAATGATGCCTAACGTTACAGACCCATAGCAAAAAATAGAATTGCAATTATCATCAAATAATATAACACTAAAAAAGTTATTGTCACGCGGTTAAAACTTTCTGTTGCATATAAGAATAAAGGTGTAAAAATCGAAAATATAAGGAACATCAAAACCGCACCGACTTCATTTTTTAATTGATCGTTTATGTACATTTCAATTAGTTTGATGATAATAAAAGTTGTTATTAATGTACAACTAAAAGCTATCACAACTATTGTCAATTTGCTAAGGCCTTGCATCGCAAAAAAAAAATAAAGGTAGAAAATCAATGATATAAGGGACATCAAAGTATTGACTGCATTTGTTAATTGGTCGTTTATGCACATTTCCATTAGTTTGATGATAATAAAGGTTGTTATTAATGTACAACTAAAAGCTATCATAACTATTGTCAATTTGCTAAGGCCTTGTACCTTATCATATAAAAGAATATAGGTGGAAAAATTAAGCCTAGGAATACTACCAAAATTGCACCGATTATATTCCTGAGTATTTCAAATTGACGTATTGGAATAAACGCGATTAAAAGAATTGATGTTACAATAATGTAAGGAATATATTCATTTATCCCAAAATGGAACATATTAGAAAGTGGTAACTTTGCTGATACAGCAGGGAATAAACAGGCCAGGAAGAAAAGAATTTGAGAAATTTTTGATAACATTGTTTAAATTTTCTCAAAATGCATTTCAAATATGTTCTTATAAAGTATTTAATTAAAGTCGAGGGTATAACGCATTTCATTACAGGTCTTTGGCGATGTTGTAGCCCAAATGCGTTAATGTCATTTCGGATATCCTAAATCGGAATGCGCATCTTGGATATCCCAAATGCGAAGATCGTTTCAGACATGCGCTTGTCCCAAATGCGCATTTATCATAAATGACCACTTCGGATAATATCCCATATGATCACTTCGGATATCCCAAATCCACTTCGGATATATATCAAATGTTCACTTCGGATATTATCCCAAATGCTCATATGCCCAAAATTGAATTACTAATTAAGATGCCCTATATTTGTCAATTGGATCATTCGAAATGGTTTTTGGAACATAAAATAGTCATATTGAGCACCCGAATTGATAATTTGGATCGAAGTAATTATTGGGTGAAGTGGTGGTCATTTGGGGTATGATTCGAAGTGGTCATTTGGGATAAATGCGCATTTGGGACAAGCGCATGTCCGAAACGATCTTCGCATTTGGGATATCCCAGATGCGCATTCCGATTTGGATATCCGAAATACATTAACGCATTTTGGGTACAACAGCGATATAATTTTACTATTCTCTATTTTCATGCATGGTGAGTATTTAGATATACCATTTATTAATTGTCATTTTTGGAAATATAATGATGGAGTTCGGAGGTTTGTTAAACTTTTCGGATTATTACATTACACCGCACCGCATAAATATGTGTTACACACAGGCTACTAAAGAATCCAAACTCGATACGCTATATGATATCGTCCCACGAATCTGGCGTAGTATCACGACGCTTTATATATAGTGTATTTATGCATATTGAGATTAGTGTATGGTGTTGGATTAGGGTTAGGGTTATGGTTAGCGTTAGGAAATGTTTGTATAATGATAATACATAAATTTGAAGTGTAGTGTAGTTTTTTTTAGAGGCAATGGTTTCCTTATATCATTGTCTTCAGTGTCTTCAGATGAAACAAAAGGTACTTCATGTATAGGGATTTATTAAATTTAATAGACAAGAATAAACACATTTAGAAAATCTGAGTCAAAACTGGAGAAAACAATACGAGTGTGAGTTAGATTTACATGCTGCTTACCTGTTAATTTATATTGTGGTCGACAAGAGACTTTTGAAAGACTTTAAAAGTTTTTATTCTACTTGTCTCACTTTTTTTTTAACAAACAAAAGCAAAAGCCTAATTTCAAGAAAAGTTGGTAATGAGTAAAATGTAAGAATTATTTTTTTACAACTATTTTTAATAATAATAATATTTATGTATCATGAAATTGAACTCATTATTCTACATAATAAAGTACTGCCTTTATTAGGATAGCGATTTTGAGTATCAAATCAAGTGTTTAGTCATAATGTTAGGATCAATTATGGAGAATATATCAAAATATTATGGATTCGTTAGAATCGATCTTTTTCCAAAGTAATTAACCAACCCCAATTCATTCATTATGGTAATATAATAATGTTATTGCTTCAAAAGAATGTACCAATGATATTGTTTATGTATTTGAACTTGATTTTTTTGACGCAAAAATTATAAATCAAGAATTATGCGACATCCTAAACCATATCAGATTTTTTACAGAAAACCGATTCCGAAATTTGACTAATTGGTGACGTGGACAGATCAGTATGACAGCGTCCCCGGAAAAATAATTATGCAAATCTACAGTAAATAATGCAAATAATGCAGCATTTACTTTATACTTTTAAAGCAAATTAAATAAATAAACAATTAAATAATTCATAAGTATCAACGAGCAGTTTTGATTAACTGTGCGCAACAATGTTTGAATTTTTTTTTAGTAAGGATTTCATTATGAAGTTAAACATCTCATATTTGATATATTCGTTATTGATCTTTCTTCATATAGTAAATACGATTTTAAAGACGTTCGCAAAAAATAATCATCTATTGATTCCTGAAATATTTTTTTGTTAATTCTGAATATGAAATTTTTTAAACGCCATTTTTTTTTCTGTGATAATATAGCTTAATATCATAGAAATTTAATTTATATTTGAATGAATAGCAATTTAAAAATTTTGGTAGCAATACAATAAATATAAACATAAAAAATTTATTTGTCAATGACATTAGTTCAATTTTTATATGGTTTAAAAGATTTTTGTAAATTTCCTAATTCTCAACAGGCAAATGCCCTTTATATATTTACTATCAATAGCAGCTTTAATATAGCTTTTCTATATTTATTTGGAAAAAATATCGATATTAGATTTAAGCAATTTAGAATTATTATAGTTATTTTATTAAACTTTAGATTCTGATTCTATATATTACTTTTTCTTGAAATTTTCAGCTGAAATAAGTATGGTATATAGAAGTTGATTATTTGAAGATGAAGAATTTGGAATTGTTGAGTTTGTATTTGTCGTACTAAATATCAATTATTGAAATTATTTGAAATTCAATATTCATTGTACTTTTCTCTTTAAACATTCACATGGTACCGAATACATATAATTTCGTAACTTATTCTGAAGAATCAAGTGCGAAAATCTAATATGATAGAAGAACTTCTAAAGCATTAAAATTAATAGATTTTAAAATATATTTTAATTACCATGCATTTAATCTTCTATCGGTATTCGCTTTATTATTGGCTGATAATTAGTTCGGAGCGTAAGCGAAGGACTAAATATTTCTAGATGCCTTGACTCAAGATGTGAGGAGGTCCGCCCGCCATTATACTTGCGCAACGGTCCCCGTTTCCTAGTATATAAGAATATTTAAAATTCACATATAATTCGATAAGTTCTAGATATACAGTATATATTATTTATTAATTTATATTTCAAAAATATTATAATGTCCATAATAAATTACGTTACCTATGAGTATCTATATCATATTCATATCCTTTCGAAATGTATCTAGCATACAATGGAAGCATATTAATAATTAAACTATTATATAATACTAATAAGCATGTTTAAATATTAGTGCCTTGTTTGATATTTAATGAATTTATGGATAAAGACCTAGAAATTAAAGAATTCATCGCTCTACTTGTATAAATAGCTTTTGGGGGCCAAGGTCTTTATTTTAATCATACTCGATTAAATTGTTCATATATTTTCCCACGATACCAAACACTGATATCTTTCTGAACTTCTTTTATTAAAGGGCCTTTATGAAGGATCTGGATCTCAGTAATAACAGGTCGCTTACATGACCATGCCATTACTTTAAATATCAGATGCTTTGTAATCTAAATATTTCTGGAGCAATATAAGAAAATTACTCATTATTTGAAGAGTTGAAAGTTGTGATAATCCTAAATCTCAATTTTCCATTTATAATGAATATCTTGATGTATGTATTTCTTTGTGAAATTCTTTCGAGTCGCATTTCAAAGTAATTATACCTAAAAATCATAAGTAGCGATTTAACACTATTATATTATATGATACATACTCAGATAATTTCTAATTTATCTTTATTTTTGTAAAACTTCTTTCAAATAATTATATAAATCTCCTCCTACATTATTAGCATATAATCAACAGCGTTCTTCTGATCGTTCTTACTAAAATTTTGAATTTACAGTACTTTCGATAGAAGGCTCTTTTGCCCTTGAATGACTTCATTTTCTTCGTGTTTTTCCAGCAGAATTACCTCACTTCTTTAAAAAAAAAACCTTAAGGAAGTGCTGCAATTAAAAGTTTTACGATCATTTTTGCCCTTTCTCTTATTTTTTCTTCAGACTAATCGCGTTTGTTTCTATTAACATATTAGCAAAAATTGAAGGTTTTCTTCATTGTTCAATTAGGAATTGCCACTCCATTATCTGAAAACATATATTTCTAGTTTGTGATGATGGTACTTCGACATCAGAGTGACTAATACTATTCCACTTTGTTCTTCATAATCCTTTTGACTATGCATTAGATGCATGAGTTGTAAGCAAATATTAACTTTATTTTTCATCAAATATTGAACCCCTCCCCTTCACCCTTAACTAGTTGTCAAGTTTGTGGTGAATATCGGAAGGATAATCTAATTGTCGAAACTTTAATATCATAATATACCAACTCTTATTCTAAGCAGCAAGTGATTCTTTATCTTTTCATCATCGAGTGATTATCCAATAATTGCATTCGTTTACTTTAATTCAGGTGAGATAATACTTGTTCTTAATCTTGAATTTAATCGTAGACTTATGAATTAATAGTGATGGTTTCGATTATTTTCAAAATACTACGTTATAAGTCAGCGTGAAATTTTCCTGAATGACAAATAATCAGAACGGAGGAAATAAAAACATTTAGTCATTTTTTTTTTGTTTGTAAAATAAAATTTAAACTTTTAAAAAAGCTTGTATTGGCAACCCTAATGTGCTTACCAGGAAACTAATCGATTAATAGCACAAAGATGCAAGAGACTGGATAAAATAATTCTCAGAAAAGTTCAACCATAGACGGATATTAAGCCTCAAGTGATGCAAAGACTGATGTCTACCATCATATATTCATTACTTTTATTATTTTAGTAAAAAATCTTTATAGAGATATTTTTACTCTTAATCTTTGACAATTACGATTTATTACTTCATTTCCGTTCATATTAAAATTAAAAACATCTATGATGCTTAAGCAAAACAAAAAAAAACATAATAATTAGGAGTATTTATTTTAATACTTTAAATATATACTAATAATTTTAATGAAGTTAATAAATCAATCTAAAAGGGTAAATTAGTAGTAGCTATTGCAAGGTAATAAGGAGAGCACGTATTTATTTAATTTGTTTAATTTGTTTTATAATACATAAAATATTTTCGCAAAAAAAATCAGAAAACTCAATATTATTTATACAATCCCGAATCTTCTAAAACTTTTAGAGTTTTCTGCAAAGTATTTTTGAGTTCCTTCATATCTTTAGGGAAAGCAATTTCATCAAGAACTTTTCTTGCTTCTTGAATACTTTGTTGATTTTTATGAAAGGTAGTATTACTTTCAGTCTTCAAATCCGTTAATTGTTGATAGTCGATAAGATTCATATCATATTTTTTTCAATTGATTATTTAATAAATTTGTAAAAGTCCGTTTTTTAGGTGATTTTTTCTTTTCACTTTCAATTTTCCTTTCCAAATCATACCAAAAAAACAATTTCTGAATTATTTATTTTCTCAACAATGAACTTCTTGAACTCCGTAGCCCAATCTCGGTAAGTGCTGTATACGCTAATTTGATTTTTGTAATCTACAAGTTGTTTGATATCTCTTCCTTGTTGTATAATAATTTCTTTTTGTTGGTAAATCATCTCTTTATGTAAATTGATCTCATCCTCTAATCGGTTCATCTTTTTTTCTTGCTCTTTCATCTTATTATTAATATTTTTAGCAATGATCACGAACTCATCAATGATCATTGATTGTTTCTCATTAATATTATTAAGTTGTTCTACGCAATTCTTCAACTTATTAAGGTCGTCTTCAATAAATTTCCATTCGTTAACATTTTTAAAAAGTTCCCTTGCATGATACATTATGTTCTCGAATAATTTTTTGCATTCCATCATTTTTTCAGTGTAAGCCTTCTTAGTAGAGGATTGATGGCTTATCAACAAATTTATTTTATTTTCAACATCGTTAAAATAATTGTCTGAAGGTTCAGTCATGATAAATTTGAGTATAATGTTAAAGAAGAATATTCTTTTTTTTCGAGTTTGAAAATTTAAAATTTAAGAAAAGGTATGAAAGAAAGGGTGTTTATATAATTGATTTATTTACGATGATGTCAGTTGATTCTTGAATAATAATAATAAACGCGTCAATACATGGGCTGTATTAATAAACTATTAACTTTCTTTTAAACACAAATTTTAGATGAGTCATTTGAATAAACTTTCGATCACATGAGCCGTAAACAACGCGAAAAAAAAATTACAACTGAATTGTCAAAAAAGAGCTTTTTTTTATCGTAAATGACACGTTATACATTGCTGTAAATATATATCTTATGTAATCAATTGCGGAGGACAATTATTGAACTGTTAATTCCTGAAAATTCCTCCCTCACAAATTCATACCCCTGCTTGTTTCCTTTTTAATCATTTAGACGTTTTTCTCAAATACACAGCGATTGACTTTAATGTTTTACCAGGAATTATCGGACAGGTTTGTTTACATTTCATTTAAAAAAAATCTGTCACAAGATAAAATTTTAAGAAGAATTCGAGATCCACAGGTAAAACTTGCATGGTACAAAAGTTATATTGGTTTTCAAGGAAGTATTGCGAATATAAATATATTTTTCAACGTTTATTAGAATCCTTTTATTTTATTTTAAGTTAATTCTAATGCAATTATAGTAGTTGAGCTAATCATAATTTTTTTAGGAATATATTCTCGATATCCTGGTATGCTCCCTCTTTCATCACTTAAATTTCTGATGTCAGGCTTATCTCTTGTAGAGGTATAAAATTTCAACAAATGTTAGCAAAGTTTCTCCAATAAGCCCAAGGCCAAGAAACAATCTAAATCCCGCCAGAGCCTAAGTGCACTGCACCCCAGCAAGCTGCACTTAATAAATATGAAGATTTGGTTTGACAAAATAGAGTTCTTTATCATGAAAGTTTGTTGATTTGGAGGTTTATAACTTGATTATTTACAAATAAGATATATGATACGATATGGAAAATAATTCAAAGTTCAATACAAAGATAAGTGGCTTAAAGTTATGTTTTTTATTATATTTCTAAGTTAGTGACGAGTGCAATACATATTGAGATATTTGTTCTTAATTTAAGTTTCACGAAATTACTTGTTGAAATCAGTAATTTCTACTGGTATTGATGATGAATGTCTAAACAGATTACTTAAAGACTAATGTTGCTCATATTGCTCTGTTCTACTTGGATTTTCTTCAAATTATTTAGTAGTAATTAGGGTGCAACAACAAGAGGAGGTCTCTAAAGTTTTGTTATCTTCAGATTCAATTCGTGTCAAAAAAAAATTCAATTCAATCAGAGGAAAAGAATCCACATTTTTTTTTTAATTTATTAAATTAAAAATATTGTGATGGTTAATTTTAACACTGGAAAATTATTTTACTGTATGTTTTATTTATTCTAATGAATAATAGTAACGATTATCTCCAAATTTTATCATCACACCATCCATACGAAATTAGCCAATTTACTTGTTAATGATATATTATTTATATACCAAAATAAAGGAAATATTTTATATTTAAAAAAAAATTGCACATATGTATGTATAGAAGTTGTTATTGTCAAATCTTGTTCTTTGGGGGCACCATGAGCAAGCTTTTTTTTTTTGTTTAATTTATTTACTGAGAATTATTCTTTACATCGAGGACAGGATTTGCCAAATAAACTATCGCATTATTTCTTTTAAATTGCAATATTCAGTATACTTGCTTTTGTAATTTTCACATTGAATGATATATTAGATTCTTATTTTGTAAATTTGCTGTATATCATCATAACGATAGATTGAATTCATCATACAATATTAAAAATATTCATGATATTATAATATTTTGAAGTAAAGAGAACTTTCAAGATCAATTTAAAGGTAAAACAAAATGTGATAATATTTAAGATATAAAAAATTAATTAATTTAATTTATCCACTTTTAGTTATATTAAATTTTCCATCTGTAATAATAGTATATATAGTTACACAAAAACTATCATATCCATTAAAATTACAGTAAATCATATGATCCGTGACGTGCAATTTTTTAAAAAAAGCATAAAACTTACTAATTATATATCAGCTCAAATGATACAAATCCACAAAACTTCCAAATTTATTAAATATCAGAAAAATTATAAATTTTTTATTTTATGGAATCTGTAACGCATTCGAATCATATTTTTATTTTTTGAAATATTTCACATGCAAAGTATCAGTTGAACAGAACCATTTACTATAAACTTTTGTCCTCATCATCGCATGTTAGCAACGTTATTAATTCTCGTTATCTTTGGGATCACAATTGATCGGAAAACTATCGTAAAATTCAAATTCTGCAGTGAACCCTTGGTATTTCGCCATGAGATAAAAACAAATTTTTTTTAAAAAATATTTAACAATAAAGTCCTAAATTATTTTCAAATTTCTATGACAAATCATTGAATATATTGTTTGAAGGAGAATCATAATTATAGAAATTAAACCTATCGTTATTATTATAAATAAAGTAAGTTAAACAATATTTTTGTTCAAACATACATGTGATTCGTCTCTAATCTAGATAAATAAATCACAACTAAATTTAATGAAATTATCAAAAAAAAAAAATTATTATTCAGAGCAAAAGCAATCACATTACCGGTACCGCCTTTGGAATGAATGCAACATATAATTGAAGCATGGAAGTAATTATAAAGAAATTTTTTGATCAATTCCAAATTTAAAGTTGTAACCATAAATCCTCATAAATTTTTTCAACAATAAAGAATATGATAAGGTTCCAAAATGGAGTGCTTGTGCATTTATATGAACTAGATTTCTTTGATTAGGTTTATATATATCTTATATATCTATTAAAATAAATAATTTATGAATGTTTGATAAAATAATTAAATGAACCATTCATTAGCTTTAAATGTTTACTTTTAATTTTTTACATTTTTTGTTATCTTCAATTATTTTATTATGGCCTAATCCTTAATGAAGAAAAATATTCAAGATAAGATTTTAAATAATCAATCAAAAAATAATTTATTTGAAAACAAACAACCTAGCAAACTAATTCCTTTATACTGTATATTTCACCCTTTCATCCTTTACTATGAAATAAAAACAAACGGCATTAAAACATCCAAGATAAATTACTAAGAAAGAAATATACGATGTCAGGTAATATAAATCGTTGTCGTAACTAAAAAAAATAATTCGATCTTTTTTAAGCAACAGTTGCAAATTCAAGAATTAAAAAAAATGAAAAATCATTTAAATCATAAATTACAATTCTGGATATTAAATATAAATATAAGGAAAAATTATAAATAACGAAGTAGCGCTTGAAATTACAATTATGGTACATTAAAGAATATAAGAAGTATCTCAAAAAAAGTGTAATTAGCATTGCATTGCGTGTAGATTTTGTATATTATTCTCCATTTTTTTTTTAAAAAAATTGGTGCAACCCTATGAAAAATAAATGTCCGGAAAATGTCACCAAAAATGTCCGGGTTCCTTCCAAAATGTTTTTTGGGGACAAAAATCATGTACGGATATATATTTGTCCGTCCAGACCTTTTAAGAACAAATTCCGGACATTAGTTTTTCATAGGGCAAAAATTACCTTCTTGACCCTGTAATCGCGATAATCAAATGTCACGTAATTATTTACTACTCACTAAATAAAAACAACATACTACTTAAATGATGTTATTTTAAATACAATTTATTAACATTAACCACATTCACTCCATACTTTAAATTTTCTTCAAGATCAATTAAAATCTCAACAAGTGTTTTAATTATTGCTTTTAAACGAAATTATATATAGATCAGGCCGCGTTTTGTCCTGAAAGCGCACAAGAGATTGACACTGATAACCTTTTCAATGATGTAATAATAGCTAAAATTATTAATAAAATTCAATCGTTGCTTGAACTTAAAGTATTGTCTGAAAAAAAAATATTTTTAGTATAAATGGTAATATTAAAAATTGTATATTTCGATAATTATATCGAATAAGAATCTTGTAAAGGTTTGACATTGATGAAAAAATTTAAATATCATTACTGAAAAAATCTAAAAAAAACTTTTAATAAACTCTACTTTTTTTTCATATTCATCAATGTTTGAATTTCTAGAAGATTCCATTTATTAACATTAAATAAAATTTATTTATCTTTTGTAAAATTTGAAGGCACATTTGGGCGTAATTTTCAAATTTTTTATTGCAACCAAAGATTGGTTTCGATAATGGTTTTTTCGGTAACTTCACATCATTTCCTTCACTTCCTCTCTATAACATACGTTTTGATCATAAATTCCTAAATGAATGCAAAGAATATATTTCCAAAGGATAGGATAGGTACGATACCACACGATAATCGAGATAAAGGATCATTTTTTGTAGAAAATTTCGAATATTAAACATGTACTATATAACCGAACTTGTAAATTAGTTTCTATAAATTTAAAATTTTATATAATGAATAACTTTTGATTATTATAGAAGTTGGAAATATAAAATATTTAAAAATAATTCTTTTACTCCTTTTAACTACCTGAAAAACTTCATAATCATCGATAACAAACTTGTTAGGTTTACCGATGTTCGGATATGAATTAGGAGCGGAATGGCATCCATTACCGATAAAATAAATATCAATATCACCAAAAAATGGTCCATAACCATTTTTACAGCACACGGCAGACTTTTCTTTATGAGCTATACCTAACGTATCTCTCTTAACATCCTTATAATCTTTAAAGGAAAAGATAAAATTATCGTTCGATTTCTATATAAATAGGCAAACCTAATCTAATGGATTATAACCTCCAATGATTTGATGTGTATCATGAAATTTCAACAAAAATGGTAGCAACTTTGCTATCACATTTATCATGGAAACTCTTTGTATACAATTCATCCCTACTAGCACGATAAAGCAAATCTGCTTTTTTGAGTTTCTAAGATTAAGTCAATTATAAAAAAAATTGTCCAATTTGAATTTTTGCTTATGTAATTTGCTGAACCATCTTTCGGTGCTAATTATTGAATTTTAAGTTGGATAATGTTTTGTCTGAATTTAGGGAATTATTCGGAAGGCTATATTAGACATTTGTTGACTTTGTTAATTTTGCTGATTCAGCATGATTTGGCTATTTGGCTTTGTAATGCTTATTAGGTCAATCGATTGCAGTTGCTGATGATATGAGCAAATAGAAGTCGAAGTTTGGAGGTTTCGAACTTAATATTTTAATAGCGAATTGTGAGGAACAATTAAAAACACAAACAGTTAATTTGTGGTGGTATATATTTTTAGCTATCAGAGATCGCCATTGTTATCCTAATTAATTTTTTTCATGGGAGTTGAAATTCACGTGTTTTTAGGTTAAAAATCAAAAAATCAAAATATACATGGGACATCATGACATTTCTGATGAAAATGTAAAATTTATGAAATAAGTTTTTTTTTTTATAAAAAATAAAATGCCTGTCAAATCTTATGTGTAACAAATTTTAAGTGGTGGCGTGAATTATAACGGTAATAAACCTTTCATATCAAAAAAATAAACGTAATTTTTATAATAAATTATAATATATTTTTACCCATTTTTTTAAATGGTTTTTTAGTATTATCATGCAAGTTTCTACAGATCTTGCATTTTTCTAAATTCATGTCTATAAATAAACAAATAAAAACAAATTAAAAAAATATTAAAAGAACTTTATCCTTTTTTTTGTCCAGATAAGATTTTTTCTGTGTATCACATACTGCGGCAAGATCTTCATCTCGGACAAATATGTATGTATTAGAGGTTGGAACCGGTTTTATTTTCAATAACCGGTTTTATTTCTTTTTCAAAATAAGAACCGGTTTAAATCGTTTGAACCCGGTTTTAAGTAAAATCGGTTTCAACCGGTTTTGCGATTTTAATAATATCGAATTGCAATGACCGTTACTTTATTAATAAATACAAAATACATTA